GGACACAATGTTGAACAGGAACATCTGCATATGCAGACAGGTATCGAGCTGAGCAGGACCTAATCTGCAAAGACGAGTTATCTGCTGCCTTAAACTTTAATTCTGTACTAGCGGAGTTTGAAGCTCTACTGGAGGAGCAATGGCAGCCAAACATGAATTTACTGGTAGCAGACTCCACGGTGCTGCTTCAAGTTCAGGTGAAATGCATCAAGACAGCTGCAGTCATTTTTTGTTCTGTATTGCACTTGGATTACATGACTGTAACATCTGATTCAGGCTTTTTGGCGGGTTTCTCTTTTTTGCAGCGTTAGGTTTCAGTCGAAGGCTCACATGAAGCCCACGATATTTAAATGTAGAAGCTGAACCAGAGCTAGAGATGAAGCAGTCATTCCACAATCCTTTGTTCTGGATGTAATTGTTGAATTCAACGACTACTTGTTGTGTTTAGTTAAATAATATAATTCACACATGAAGAAAAAGCTTCACTTCTTCATACTGATGGCTACTCGAGGCAGTCCACACTCCCAGGCAGTAAGGACGGGGCCAACCAGAGGACATCAGGCACTCAGGCTGAAGTCTGTTTCTGGTCAGAGTCAAAGCTGCTCTCCTAACTGCCTGTTTTCTGGAGTCTCCTTCATCCTCTGGAGCCTGTGCTGGGAGACACGGCTCCATCCTGCAGCAGCTGCCTGTGCAACCCGTCCAGGTATCACGTCTTGATAGGAGTAGTGAAACTGGCCTGAACACGAGTGTCCTCCACCTGTTAAACCGCTGCTGCTTTAGGGTTTGTCTCAGTGTTGCACCTGTTGTTGATTTCATTAACAGCACAGCAGCTGAAGCTATTTAACACTCACCGCTACACAGATGTTTACCTGATGGATGCTACTCTGATTAAAATGTGTTTTCATGTTTCAACAGTGTAATTGGTCGTCTGTGAGTTTGTACACACACACACAGAGCAGAGTGACTCAAATCAGTTTATTATGAAAAATGAGAGAAAGGTCCACAGACCTTGGTCTCTACATACAACACGATCAAATTCTGATTCTAGTCTTTGATCTGAGCCATGACTGAAAACTGTAATCGAGTTTGGTGATTTCATTCACTAACATATGTCACTGAGATCAAGCTTTAAGTGGGGAGGTGATTTTTTGAATCCACAGCACAGATTCCACCTCGCTTCAGCAGGTTCGTACGGTTTGTGTAGCACAGGACAGTTTCTCCGTCTGACATCTTCTCAGCAGCTTCTTCAGTCAGCTGTCGTCTCGTCTCACTGCACACGTCTAAGAATTCTTTTGCAGCACCTTGATGGTCACCTGAAAGCACGAGCAGGTTGTCAACATGTAAGAAATGTCTAATGTACACTGCATCGCATATTTACATTTATTTATTTATTGTCATTATGTTACTAAAACATTACAAAACCTACTGTGATGCCCTCAGTGATAAAGAAAACAAAAGATCAATAAATACATCAGTAAGATTTTAAAAAAGTCAAAGCAAAGGCAGAAGTCTCTCGAGTACAGCGACTGGACGTGAGTGTGTGTGCAGGTGGACAGATGGCTTTCACAGCTCGTGGCAGAAAGCTGTCCCTCAGGTGGGAGTTTCTATGTAACCGTGACCTCGATGCAGCGATGAACAGTCCTGGGAGAGTGGGGTCAGCAGCAATACGACTGGCCTTCCTTTGTAAAAAGCTCTGAGGAAACGGGGGGAGAGTCCAGCCCTCTTCAGTTTCCTGAGGAAGAAGAGGCCTTGATGTTATCCCCTCACTGCCCTCGGATGAGGAGAGGTGGGTGCTCTGTCCTTCAGTCGTGTTTGCATCGCTGACCTAATATTATATTTAATATTAAAGGATGACTCTGTTATGTCCTGTTTATGGTGCAGAAACATTCACAGTTATCAAATCTGTGACACATATTTATAACTCCGTCTGAACACAATAAAATTATTCTTTATGGGTTTGACAACGATCGATTTTATGACTTAATCCTTTCTAACATACTGCATAACAACAACTAGGGCTGATAACTGTGGCCTAATTAAACGCTCAGCTGATATTACGACCCTGATTATAAGACCGAGTTTAAGATATGCAAGGCCGAGCCTTTCCTCTGTAATCACAGACGGCTGAACGATTGATCGTTTTCTGATCAAAACTGCGATTTCAGACAGCGCGATCATGTGACGGCCAAAGCTGCGGTATTTTGCACCTGACTGACTGACCCAGGATCTGTAGTGTTATTTATTTAGCAGAACCAGAAGACAGTTAGGAGGCATAACACACTGTGACATGGTGTCTCACCAAATACGGTTTTTGTTGTATTTTACTTCACTGTAACTTCACATAATAAAAGATTTATTCAGTCAAAAATGGTCCTTTTAGTTCTTCGTTTGTAATAACTGTCATTGGTCAAAAACTGAATGTACCTGCATGTTCCTTATTAATAAACACATTTGAAACCACTTTAGTTTTCGTCATAGAGTAATCGCATTTATTGTTTTGATGAAATGACGTCATTTTCTGTCATGTTTGTAAATGTTACTGTACGCTGGGAATTTTGTGATGAAAATCATGAGTTGAACTGAAATCAGAATATCTGCCAGAAAAATCATAATTAGATCATTTCTGAGACTCACACGCTCTCCCTGTATCAGCCTCTGAGGCATAGAGCCAACTTTGATCTTAAACAGTGTGAAAAAGAAAGAAAGCTGTCAGCTTGACTCTTCGGACTTAAACTGGAAGAAATAAATGTGTAAAATACAAGTTACACATGCTGTAAGACGCATGTGTAGACGTGGTGGCAGCTCATTGTTCACACTGACCATTTGTTGGCTGTTGTAGTCATAAAGATTTCTATATAGTGCAGAGGGTTTATTGGAGACATAATTAAGCGTTTTGCAAGTTGAATTTTTTTGGTACTAAATAGTCATTTTTTGGGAAAACAGCAGCTGACAGCACTGTACACACCGATAGACTGCTGCGTAATAAGCAAACAAATAACACAGAAAACAGAGATTTCTGATGGGAGCCTGGTCTCGCAGCACACAGAGATAGAGCTGTGCGGTTTTATCGTGGTGGCATCCAAAGTAAGAGGGAATTCAAAGTTTTTCTGACGTGTAGTGTGGTCTTCTTTTGCTGCTGGTTCAGGGAAGTTTGGTTGGAGGGTGACGATGTGAGATGTCGGCTTCCTGCACCCAATGGGATCCGTGTTTTGTGTTTGCATCTTTTTACGCGATCTGTTTGCCTGCTCTTTAATCGTTTGCTGTTTTGGCTTTTTGTTGGTCGTTGAAATGGTTTGACGAGCTTTGAGCTGAGATTCGGACGTTTCTGTGGATTCCACACGTCTATATTTACCAGATCCTCCGGGACATCACGATAAACTAGATGGACATTTTTATACTATATTCCCTCCTATTTATAAACCATATTAATTATAGTATGATGCGACCAACATTCCTACGTCTGGTCTCGACCTCTTACCACTGATTACACTGCAGCTTACAGCAGGTATAACTTGTTTACAACTGTATCTGTTTGTCTTTTATTCCTTTATCTTATCGTCTGCCTCTCACCCCTGCTCCTGGTTCAAATAATTGAAATGCATTGTGGGAGATGTAGTCTGCAGTCACTGTGCTTTTGAGCAGTATACAGTAAACTTATTTTAAGACAATCTTGCACAATCACTCGCAGGTCACATAAAATGATGTGGCGGGCCACATTTGGCTGGCGGGCCTTGAATTTGGCACATGTGCTCCAAGGCTCAGAATAAAGGCAAAGCTAATGATAACCTCACCTATGATTCCCAGCTTAAAGATATGAGATTTTGGGCAAGCATACACGCCGACACGGAGCCACCTATTCAACGCCTGTAAGCACCAAACGGCAGCAGTGATTACCGTTTTAACTTCTGTGTAGTTGTCCAGGCCGTACTGGCCCAGCTCTCTGCCGACACCTGAAGCCTTGTAGCCTCCAAACGGAGCCTGAGCCCCAAACACGTCGTAGCAATTGATCCTGCAGAAGAACACACACAGGAACAAACGCTGATGTTAAACATGGCCTGAATGAATACTGAGCTACAGCAACACAGTGTGGACATCCAGTGATGACGCATGGCTGCGTGATGTCCTCCAGCAGCTGGATTTGTAGGTGTTTGGAAAGTGCAGCTACACAAATAACTGAAAAACCTTATTAGAAAAGTCAGTATCCCCCCTCATGTTTCAGGACAGAGAGTTCAACTTTTCCCTCCTCTGTGAATGTTTGCACATTAGTGATCCCATTAATCTGTCCTTACCAGACTGTGCCAGCACGAAGTCCACTGGACACATAGTTGGCCTTATCGATGTCCTTAGTAAACACGGCGGCTGCAAGCCCATATTTTGTGTCGTTGGCTCTCGTCACGACCTCCTCGAGGTTTTTAAACTTCAAGATTTGCATCACTGGACCAAAAATCTGCAAAACAAGAGAGACATGAAAGCAAAAAAGTATTTTAGAAACATCAACAGTAAGAAATTACCAGGTGTGTGTGTGTGTGTGTGTGTGTGTGTTAATTGCACGATGTAAAAGCCCCATGAAGGCAACGTTTACGCTCTCAGCAGCCACCATGTCTGGAGCTTTGCAACGTTACCACACTTTAATCCTGTGAGCACTCCACAGTGACCCTCAGATGTTAATGCACCAGTGGCGACAGACTGACACCTGAATTAAGATGAATCCAATTCAATTAGAGTCTATTTATGAAACAATCCAGTCAGATCACAACAACAGTCACCTCAAGGTGC